AAAAAAAAAAAAAAAGGAAATAAAAAGGAAAAAAATTATCTGGGCATGGTGGCACACACCTATAGTCCCAGTTACTTGGGAGGCTGACATGGAGGATCCCTTGAGCCCAGGGGCTTGAGGCTGTAGTACTCTGTGATCGAGCCACTGCACTCCAGCCTGGATGACAGAGTGACACCGTGCCTCAAATTATTAAATTAAATAAAAAAGAAAGTACTTTGCACAGTTTCTGGAACATAGGAAGTGCTCCGTAAATCCTACCTGTTTTATTAGATGACACCTGGAACTTTTGTGACTAAAGGGAAGGAATTCAGCCTGAGAGCTGCTGGCTCTGGCCCTACCTGAGGGCTGCCCGACCTCCAGGCTTCCGTTTCTGATCACCAATAAATCCCCTCCTCACCTAGACCAATTTGGGTTGGGTTTTCAGATATTTTGCAACAGAAGAGTCCTCACTGCTACCCAATGATCATTATGTGACCTAGGGCAAGTCACGTGGCTTCTCTGGGCCTCAGTTTCTTTGTCCATGCAGTGGAGCCGACGATGCCTGAGAGAGCGGAGGCATGGAGGCACAGGTCCCCTTCCCCCACAGGCATTTTCACATTTCTGCAGCACACATTCCCACCAGCTCTCTATGACCTCTACCCTTTTGCTCCCCTCCACCCGCCCGGCAGAACATTCAGATACCTCCACTTAGTCTCTCCCTACACACACCCCTCCGCAGACACCCCAGCATACACACTCCAGGCACATTCCTCAATCTGGCCTCTTCCACACAGCCCTCCAGCCCCTGCTCTCCCACACCCTCCCTGTGCCATTCCCTTCCTGCATTTCTACCCTGAGCTCCGGACAGGGCCAAACCCCATGAGAAGCTCATTCATGCCTCCAGTCTCCCCTTTTGCCTGCCCCCTAGATTGATACAATCCCCACCAGGTCCCCTCGCCCAGAAAGTACAGACAGAGGCCAGGGCCAGGAAGTGACTTTAATGTCTCAGGAGCTGGATTTGGAACAAGTTGGTGGTGCCCAGGGCCTCCGGCCCCAAGGGAGCAGTGACCAGCCTGCATCTTCCTCTAAATCATATGGCACCGGCGGGAACACATCAAGTCCTCGGATGTGCACCTCAAGCCCACTCGGCAAGGGCAGATGATGTTGATGGCTCCCTTGGTCTGCAGGGCGTGGGTATGAGAACTGGGTGTCACCAGGATGCAGGAAGGATGGGGACTTCAACTTCTCAGGGACCAGAACCAAGATTACCAGGGCTGGAGTAAGACAGGCCTGCGCTGTTTCTACAGCTTATAACTGCGTGACCTTCAGTAAGTCAATGAGCCTCTCCAGCTCAGTTTCCTCATCTGTCAAATGGGGACAGTAACAATAACCTACCTCATAGGGTTGTTATGAGGACTAAATGAGATAAAGCAGATCAAGTGGCCGTAATAACAAGACCCTCTAGGCCGGGCGTGGTGGCTCACACCTGTAATCCCAGCACTTTGGGAGACTGAGGCAGGTGGATCACCTGAGGTCAGGATTTCAAGACCAGCCTGGCCAACGTGGTAAAACTCCATCTCTACTAAGAATAAAAAAATAGCTGGGCGTGGTGGTGCATGCCTGTAATCGCAGCTACTCCACAGGCTGAGGCAGAGGAATCGCTTGAATCTGGGAGGCAGAGGTTGCAGTGAGCCAAGATCACGCCATTGCACTCCAGCCTGGGCAACAAGAGCAAAACTCCATCTCAAAACAACAAAACCCTTTAGCCACTTCAGCTGTAGGCCACAGCAGGGCCCTGCTGCTTCCTTAGGGCATTGGCAACTACCCACACAGGGACACGGAGGCTGGGCCCATGGTTAGGTCCATCCACCCCAGAAAGGTTTGGGCCCAGGGCCAGGAGAGAAGGAACAGGGGATACTGAGCATTCTGCTCCCTGCATTCCTAGCAGTGAGTGATGACCTTGCTGCACTGCACACTGTCCTTGCCAGGACCACGTAATCTTCCCAACAGCCTGGTGAGGTAGGTACTTTAGCCTCTCCTTGTAGATGAGGAAACTAAGGCTCAGAGAGCCATGGTGGCCTGCCTGCGTTTGCAAAAGTAGGGTGTCGAAAGTCAGGATTTAAACTCAGGTCCAACTCCAAAGCTGTGGTCCTGCTCTTCTCAAGAAATCATGTCGGCCGGGTGCGGTGGCTCACGCCTGTAATCCCAGCACTTTGGGAGGCCAAGTCAAGCAGATCACCTGAGGTTGGGAGTTCAAGACCAGCCTGAATAACATGGAGAAACC